TCGAACTCCTGAGCTCAAACAATCCACCCGCCTCGGCCTCCCAGAGTGCTAGGATTACAGGCATGAGCCACCGCGCCCGGCCTGAATTATTATATTAAATGTAATGATGATAGTTCTTATTTATTTAGCAAATATACTATACCAGACACTATGCTATAAATATTAATTAGTTAATTCAATAAATATTTATTGAGTGCCTAATATGTGCCAAAAGGTAGAAAGAAACAGTAAAAAGCAAAACCAAATCTTTGCCTTTATAGAGTTTACATTCCAGAAGGAGTAAAGTATCCATCCAATAAGCAATACAAATAAGTAAATTATTTGGTACCTGGTTGTATTAAAACACATAGAAACAGAGAGTAGAATGTTGGTTACTAAGGGCAGGGGGAGAGGGAATGGGAGATGTTGGTCAAAGAGCACAAAGTTACAGTTATATAAGGTGAATAAGTCTAGAGATATAATGTACAGCATGACTATAGTTCATAATATTGTATTGTATACTGGAAATTTGCCGAAATACTAGAATTCCAATGTTCTTACCTCAAAAAAGGTAGCTATATCTGGAGATTGGTATATTAGTTTGAGTGACTGTAGTAATCATTTCATTATGTACATTGTCAAAGACAAAATCACACAAATTTATTGATGTAATCAGCTTTTGTTCACGATTCACGAACAGGGGCAGCCTCCATTCTGCAGAATAGAATGAGAGCTCCCACCGCACAATGACAGAACAGTGGGCTTTGTAAGGTGGGAACAAGAAAACAGAACAATACAAAGAAAAAGCTGCTTGGTTAACATCGGGTTACTTCAGATTATCTTTCTGGTGAGGGATAAAGCAGAGAGTACATCCTTATTATGCTAACTCAGGTAGATTGGTATCTCTTGTTTTCAGGAAAAAAAACACACACAAAAAAACTGGTCTGTTTTGGGATCTGTCTGTATCCTTAAAGTTTCACCTTGATTATGTGACATTTAGTGTAAGTGACTCCATTTTGGTTATTTTGGTTTGATATTGTCTGTTGGGGCCTAGTGTAGGAGCTCAGTCCAAAACAATGGCTTCTCATAATTTTGTTTAACTATATGAAAACATTATCTTGAATTCCTTAAATATATACAACAGAGAACTACTGGTTGTCTTTTCAATGTAAAGGACAATATTAATGCAGGGAAAGAGAAGAAAGGCTGGGGCTGCAATTATAAAAGAGGCAGTCAAGATAGAGTTCGTTGAAGAGGTAGTTGAGTAAACAGTTGAGTTCTGGGGACAGAACTTCAGAGATAGAGGAGCCAGCAAGGATGCAGATTTTGAGGCAGTAGACACCTGACATATCTGAAGGGCATCGAGGAGATTAGTTGCTGGCCCTGAGTGAGTAGGTGGAAAAATAGTAGAAGAGAAAGTCAAAGATGTAATAAAGTTTTCATTGTGTAGAGCAATTTAGTTCACTGTAAAATCTTTCAGCTTTTTCTCTGAATGAAGTAGGAAGCCATTAGACTGCTGTGGTCCCCAACCCCTGGGCTGCGCCCAGTACCAATCCATGGCGTGTTAAGAAAACAGGGTCGCACATCACCACCTGAGCTCTGCCTCCACCCCTGCACCTCCCACCCCCAATCAGTGGAAAAATTGTCTTGCATGAGACTGGTCCCTGTTGCCAGAAAGGTTGCAGAGGATTTTGACCAGGAGAGAGAATGATCCGATTACATTTCAAAAGGAACAATCTGTGCTGTGTTGAGGGGGCAAAAGTGGAAAAAAGATATAACACTTCTATTTTCTCAGAGAAATAGGAAGCTGAGTCATTAGCTGGAGTGAGGATGATGGAAGATGTGCTAGTTTGAGGATTGGGAAGAAGTTATGCAGCAGTCACCTAGGAAAGTGGGGGCTAAATGGGTCAAAGGAAATGTAGTATGATTGCCAAGGAATAAAAAGCAGCTGTCTGTAGTTAATCACAACACATTTAGTACAAGGTCAGTAAGCTTGGATGAGTGTTTTTCTCTAGTCACATTCAGTTATATTTCTCCAGTTACTTTTCAGCTCCAGGAGGGGGATAGGCATAGCCCACTCGAGATGGTGTTTTTGCCAAATAAGATGTTCAGAAAGAGCAGCCAGGGAGTTGAGGATGTATACAAAGCAGTGATTATAAGGATTAACCATGGAATTAAGCTGGAAAATGAAGGAAGTAAAGACATGAAGGGTGAAGTACAGTAATAGATGTTAGGAGTAATACACTGTGGATTACAGTGGAGCCAAGGATTGTTGGAATCAAGGTTAGTGGAGTTAATGGTGTCAGGTTGTGAGAGTGAGTGAGGAAAGAATTAAAATTACAAAGGGGTTGCGTTATTGGTGAATTTGTTTAATCCTCACAGTGATCCCATGAGATAAATATTATAATTGCCCCCATGTTACATATGAGGAACCTAACAAAGAGGTTAAGTGAGTTTCTCAGTGCCACATGAGTAGTACGTGGCAATCCTGAATTAGAACCCAAGTGGTATCACTCCAGAGCCGGACACTGAGATCTTCATTGTCACTTTTTGTCCAAATCCAAACAGAAGCCTTTCATCTGTCTCACCTCAGTGACTAGAACCTTTGTACTCCAACTCTCCTAAGCCTAAAACTCAAGAACCATTTTTGATTTCTCATCTCGAATATCAAATTAATCATTAGGAATACTATTCTAATGTCCTTAATCCCGTCTCTTTACTTCGGCCTGACTACAACTGTCTCCTATGCCACCTTCCCAGAGATTTCCTACGACTGTCCCAGTAGCATCCTGGCTAAACTGCCTCCTTTCCCTTTATCCCCAACCTGCTTCCTGAGTCCACTTCCAAAAATGCAAATATAATATGTCTCTCATGCATAAAATATTTTTGGTGATTCTCTATTTGAATTCCAAACTCTCTAGTATAGTAAACAAGGCTCTTTAACTTGATCAGTCACTCATATACAACCTTACATAGTAGAAATCAAGGATAATTGAACTGCTTGTCATTCTCCAATCCAAGTACTAACCAGGCCCAACCCTGCTTAGCTTCCGAGATCAGATGAGATTGGGTGGTACAGGGTGGTATGGCCATAAACTGTTTGTCATTCTCTAAGTACAACTGTTCTCTGAAGCCTTTAGGGGTCTTGTATATGTTAATAAATCAGCCTAAATCACTTCACTTTAAAATTTTCTGCAATTTACTAAGTAAGAGTTAAAGGTTACTTTCTTATCACGGAATAAATACATTGACTATTATATCTGTTAACTATTTAAATATCCATACTTTAAATGAATGAATGAAGTTGTTCTGCCTGCTTAATCTTACTTACTTAATCTGCTCCAGCTGATGGGCTCTGAACATTTTTGTCCTGTGAACTCTCATTAACTTCTGAGGAATAATTCCACACTGCATGATCTGTAACCCTTGGTTTAAAGAAAACCATTATATCACAAATAGTATAGTCTTATTTTGTTTTTTTATTCCTCAATACTAGTTTCTTTCTTAAGAAATTATATACTCCGGTGACTTGTACTAATCTTCTCTAAGAAGAGCAGATGAGGTTCCTACTCAGTTATTGCAAAATGGCCATTGATACTATCTCTATCACATTCTAGAAAATGTAAAAGACAGAACTTAAGATACATGGTTTTTTTCCCCTCTTTGCCATTCACTCTGTGGTCAGGGATTAGTTATTGACTAAACTATATAAATACAATATGTATCCCTAATTTCTGGTTGAAGCTCATGTAACCTTGCATCTTAATGACATGCCACAAGTTCAAGATCCATATCAATAGTCTCATGGTATTTTAGAACATATTTTCTGGTGTCATTAAAAAAAAATTATATCAGCCTTCTCATTCCTCCCCAACACTTATTAACTTTAGGTTAATGATTCAGTAGATATATGCTCACCTGTTATGGAGATCAGCAAGGTAAGCATCTTCTCTGCATGGATGGTGTGCTTTTTATAAGCATGCACTACAAATGGCTTCCACAGATAATTGGTCTTAATAATGGCTATTGCCATAAAAATGGGGTAAAATCAACTACTCGGTAATTAAAATAATCATCATATGATTTTTTGCATTCAAACGGAAAAAAATGTTACCAATGACTTCATACATCAGATATAATTACTATTTTCTAGGTTGCAGTTGACATCTAGCATATTTTGAGAGTACTATCAGAAACCTGTATTGCTTAAAATTTATTTGATGTGGATTTTCTATCAATAATTTTTAATGGCTGTGTCTAGGTACTTAAAATGCTTTTTTTGAAAAATTTTCAATGAAAAATTATTACAACCATACTCTATTTACTACCATATTGAAAAGAATTCCTGTTTCAAAGGTAGATTTCTTTCAGGTCTCCCCTGACTTTAACTCCAAATAAATTTAGGGTGAATCCAAACTATTCAGTTAGGACTCTTGATAAGCAATTTAATTTTTATAAAAGGTCATTAACCCTTCCCAACTTATTGTCAAAACAGATGTTCTGTCTTTAATAGAATCCATTTAAAAATTCACTCTTGATTCTTCCTACAGATCATACCCTGAAGTCTCTGCTGTCCGATCCAAAACAAAGTGACATTGCAAAAAAAAAAAATTAATAATCTTGTATGAAACGTGGCTTGGTGACCATACAAGCCACTTGCTATTATACTTTCTAAATTTTACGCCTAACCGAAGACAGGTGTATTTTCTGTTGCTTTAGCCCCTCACAGTTTTGCTTAAATTAAATTTAGCCTCACCATTATGGCATCAGCCTGCATGGAAAGGCATTTTAAAAAATTAATCATATGATAACCTTCTATGTGTAACAAAAAAGGTATGTCACAAATGTCCTCCATTATCTGACAAAAGTCCCTTTTAGCTCTGTTCATCACAATTTGTTATCTTTTGGATTTTATGAGTCATTACCCTTTTATTTTCTGTACTTAAGAAGCTTGGAGTTAAATTTATACCCATTTTGCTATGATGTTGAAATATATGTTATTTATTTGTATGTGCTAATTATGACTTTATTACTACGCTATTAAATTTCCCTTCACTATAATAGCCTCAGTTAGTACTTTTAAAATTATTTTGATAGTACATAAATTTTTCACAGAAATCAATGGAATAGGCTGAATAGACTGTTTGATTTTTAGAGTAATCTCATACAAGAAGCTATAAATTTGATCAATTTTTCTAGAATATGGGTTAGTCTTACACACATTCTAAGTTTTACACATTTTTTGTGTATGTGATAAGGTAAAGTGCTTCTATAAGACTGCACTTTTTTATATATTCTTTGGTTAGGGGAAGGATTTTATTCAATTAATGCTGCCACTATCAACACAAGAAGATTTGAGATATCTCATGAGGACTTTATGTTTGAATAATGAAATGAATCATATTATCACAAAAATCATTTCTGTTATATGTAACTTCATTATTTAGTTTAGTTTTCTCTATGTATAAATTTTACATTGTAACTTAAAAACAAGGTTCTTATTCTCTGATAAAGGTGATACTTATTTTTCCATTTCAATGTCAATATTTTAAAATTGATAAATTAAAATTTAGGGATGATATACTGTTAATTTGCTGATTATTCAAAGTTGAGATTATATGACAATTAAATATCCACTGTTTATATGCTAATGTTATTTTTGTGTATTTAAGGTATCTTTTAGATCACATTGATAGTCTGTGTGCATTACTTTTATATATTAATACATCTGTAGTGATAGATTCTTTCTGTTTTAACTATTTTATCTCCTTCTTTCTCCCTTTTCTCCTCATTGCTTGCTTGCTGTCTTCCTTCCTTCCTGCCTTCCTTCCTCTCTATCTTTCTTTCTATCTAACTTTCTTTCTGTCTTCTTTCCATTGACTTTTGCTAATGTCACTGGAGCTAAAAAAACAGTTAAGAACAACTCCCTTCTCTCTTGCAACTCAGGGTCTATGAGTCAAGGCAGGCGAACAGATGACATATTATTGTGTGATAAGTATTAATTTATAGGAGCTCTAGAGGATGTAATCATAATCCATTCTGAGAGTAAATCAAGGAGTAAATAAAAATTTTCTTGAAGAAATGATGCCTGAGCTGAATCTTGAACAATAAATAGGTATCTGGCAGGCAAATGTTGCGTAAGCTTTATGAATAGTCTCAGTGACGATAGAGTACATAGTGTGGTCATGAAACAGCAGAATGTTTCTCAGGGGTTATGCATAAAGGTGAGGGCTGGAGAAATAGACAGGACAAGGTCTGAGATAGCGAAATGTTGGCCTGTCTTGTCAAGGAGTTTCGCATTATCCAATATAAGTTGAGCTTACATGAGTAGCTTTGTGTTATAGAAAGACAACTTTGCCAGCAGTGTGACATAAAATAAATTTAAAACAGGGAGCAGAAGAGATATGAAAGTATCATAGTGAGATTGTGATGTGAATGGTCAAAAGACACCAACAGAGTAAGAAAATGAGGGACCTAGGGGAAAGGACTATAGCATAGAGCAGAATATTAGGATTTGATGAAATTTCAGAAGAGATTATTTTCAGATAATGGTAAGGTCCAATATACAACCATGGATCTGGGTATCTCAGTTGACATGCAGGGGAAGTTCACTAAATGTTAGAAGGTCAAAGAACTCCGAGAGTGGTTGATTGGATGTTATCCTTAAAACCACCCAGGAGAATGGCAGGGGCTTGATGAAATGGTTAGTATATGACAGTAATGAATAAGGGTAGAGAGAAGAGCTATTAAATTTTATGAAGCTCAAGTAAAGAGATTCTACTTTGGGGATGGAGGAATGATGATTTTGATGGAAAGCCAAGAGATTTCCGTTAAAACTATAAAACCAATAATGGGTGAGAGAGTGAGCAACCTCTTTTCAGAGGTGTTCAAGGGAAAGGGCAATGACTTAGAGAGGAAAAGGATAATTTGGATTTTTTTGAACAGTTTTTCCAGAGTTCCCAGTGAAAATTTTAGAAAAGAAG